CACACACACACACCCACTTATTTAAATCTTCTCCGTCCCAAAAACGAAAAACCTCAATCTCTTTCACCCTCTCTCCTCATTATTTACAGTCTTCAGTACTAACCTTCTATTTTCTGCTTTCATTGTTAACCATGCGTTTTGACTTGAATTGAACCTTCTTTGTCTTCATCATCTGTTAATGTCCCGAAATCCTTGCTAACCCACCGCAGTGGTTGATCCCCATTGAGTACTATTAAACTTGATTTTTGTTACCAAAGTGGGTTTAGGGTTGAGAGGGATCTGGGTTTTCATAGACTGGCTATTTTGGTAATCTTTCTTCACATCTGGGTTTCAGACATTATGATCATATCTGGGTATCAATCAATTTGGGAGCTTTTTGAGCAGAGCCATAAGGGTATTCATTAATCCTTCTGGTACAATTTCCACAATTGGCGTTCAGTTTACTTCTCCTTTCTCCAACCCTAAATAAACGATGGTAGCTGCAGGAGGAAATGGGTTGTTATTCCCAATTCTAGGTTTTGCATCGTGTGTGGTTTTCATTTACATGTCCTTCAGTGATTTGTCTCTCAGTTATCACCATGAATCTGAGCTGAGTTTCGTCACCAGAAACGGGACACAGTTTATGGTGGACGGTAAAATCTTGTATGTCAATGGATGGAATTCTTACTGGTTAATGGACCATGCTGTTGATGAGTATAGCAGATATAGGATTGGCTCAATGCTGCAAGCTGGTGCTAAGATGGGTCTCACTGTATGTAGAACTTGGGCCTTCAATGATGGAGACTACAACGCTCTCCAGCTTTCTCCTGGTAGATTTGATGAGCGGGTCTTCAAGGTATTTGGATTCCCTAATTCTCAATGTCTTGTGTTGATTGTTGTACTATACATCTGTGTCATATTAATTTGCCCAAAATTTATCTGGCCCAGAAAAAAAACGAAATGTGGGAGTTTGATCTGGTGGTATATTATAGATTGGTGGTGGTCTTTTGTTTTTATGTATTTTCACTGCTGGGTATCTGCTTTTTCATTTATATTCCTTTAATTGAAGAGGTTTAGGCTGATACAAGGTGGTTGAGATGGAGTTACTTGCTAGATAATTTTTAAGAAATGATTGTAGACAATGCTGCATAATGATGTTGGTTTTTAATTTTTAAAGCGAGAATTCGGGTTGCATACTTGCTGGTGCTTGATTGATTTATCTGTATGCTTGTTTATCGACCGTGATATGGCTACCCGAATTAAGGAAATATATTAATTTTAACTTTCTTCTTGATTCTGGCTTGGATTTTGGATACTTGTTTGTGCTTCATTGATTTTTCTGTACATTTGATAACAATAAGAAAAAGGGCAGTAAAATTCGTTTGCCTCACTCTTATGGATTTATAGATGTTTTATTTCTCCTTCTTCTTTTCCAGTTTCAACCCTCTGCCACTTGTTGATTATTGTTCACTAATCCATGAATAATTGAAGCTACCTATGCTATAACAGAAAAGTTTTCCAGAATGCTTTTTTATTTCTAAATTAATTAGTTCTACCTATTAGCTATCTTCTATTTTAATAACTAATAATTTAGAGACCTTGGTGCTGTTCTAACTATTATTATTGTTTTATATATATATATATATTTTTGGTTGGTGGATATCTGTTTCTTTTTCTCCATTTTAGTTTTCAGAAAAGAACAGAACAGTCTTTTCTTGTAGATTCCTTTTCAATTGAGGTTATCTTGAGTCGACTTTGCTGAGATATAACTCCTGTCAAACAGCTTATGTATTGTTTTAATTTTTAAGTGAGACTCTTGATAGGATACTTGTTGGTGCCGACTTGATCATTTGTATGTTTGTCAAAGAGATGCTACAATTATCCTGGATCATGCATAAACAGAACACTCACGTTACTATGATGCCTTGAGAGAGTTCTTTTCCCTTCATTTCTTTCATGATTATCATTCATAGTTTGCATATTTTCTGCTAGTCAAGTATAGGATAGGTGTAGCAATAAGGATCCACAAAGAGGAAATATTTCCTTTCCCTAAAATCCGCAAAATAGATGCAGTGCTTAATTTGCAACTTTCATAATTTTTTTGTTGTCTATTGTTTATATTGATATGTACAGCTATGAGAAATTCTAATTACCCATGCTATGATAGATTTAATTTTCCCGGAATGCTTTACCGTTTCGATTCTTATCTTTTCAACATATTTGCTGTCTTCCATTTTAACAACTAATAATGTAGCAGGCATTGGACCATGTCATTGCAGAAGCAAGAAAGCATGGTGTTAGGCTGCTTTTGAGCTTGGTTAATAATTTGCAAGCATATGGTGGGAAGACTCAGTATGTCAAGTGGGCATGGCAAGATGGCGTTGGTTTAAGCTCTTCCAATGATTCCTTCTTCTTTGATCCATCTATTCGCAGATATTTCAAGAATTATGTTTTGGTATGGGTTCATCTACTTTCCATGAAACTTGTAGCGTTGTTCCTCTTGATCTTGGTTTTGAGTATATTCTTCTTATTTCGTGTGGCAGTACATGATGTTGTCTCTAAGTTTCTGCATAGAACCCATGGATAAATTGTTAAACGATAGGTACTCGATAAATTGTTGTTAGAACTACAAACAGAAGGCAAGATTTGAGAAACACAATTAGACTCTTTGACTGTACATATCTCCCTGTGTTTAAAGAATTTGAATCGTCAAAAAGAGGCTGAACAGTGTTCTTTGCTCCTTTTCAAGCAAGGTTCTTTGCTTTCCCTGTTTCTTTTTTCCTCTTCAAGAAACAAATTGGGCTAACAGGGTCTAGTTTTTTTTTTTTTTTTAAATATTTTCTTCCTGGGGTATGTTTACTTTTTAAAAAAATTTCTTATTAAAACACGATGGTCTCAAAAGTAGCATGTAATAATTAACCGAAGATGTCTTGTTAGACATCATGGAAAAGTCATGATTCAGGTAATACGATGACAGGGAATAACTATGATTCAGAAAATCAAAAAATGAAAAGCGCATCACAATTCAAGGAATGAAATTGCTTAATGCATCAAAGTTCAAGGATCGAGTCTGCTTATGAGTCCTGTGACAAACTTGTGAACCATTATAGAGGCGGCAGTGGCAATTAGATCAAGATAATGGGGTTATCTTTACGGGATATTCTATGAAGACCCTCTATTGAGTTTGTCTTTTAATCAGACTTCTAAGGCGAATAACACCTTTTCCCTTATGCTTTCAAAGATGAGTGAGAAATCAATATTTTTCACCAAGCATAAAGCACTCCTAAGAGAAATTATGCAAGATAGATTTCACAAATCACAATTATCAATTTGAGAGTTTATCAATAGGTCATGGCGTAGTGCATCAAGTTAGCCTGTTGTGCCAGCTATATGCCTACAAGAACATTTAATACAATGCATTTAACTTGTCGATCTTGTTTTGCATCTTGTGATAATCGTTGATTGTGTATCTTTCCATGTTGCCGTAAGATTTTTACTAATTTGTTTCCACTTCTTTTTTTTAGACTTTGCTGACTAGGAAGAACACAATCACAGGAATTGAATATAGGAATGATCCCATCATCTTTGGATGGGAGTTGATAAATGAACCTCGTTGCATGTCTGATCCTTCTGGTGACACTCTTCAAGTGAGTTATGAAATCCTTCCTTTTTTTGGTAGTTTTCAACTGTACAACATTCTGAGAGCCAACTGAATTCTAACTGGCGTATTTGTTCTTCTAAAGATATTCAAAATTTGAATTGAGTAATTGCTACAATTTTGACTGGTCTCTTTTGTCCCAAACTTTTTCCGTTCTTCCTTTCTATTTAATTTTTGAAGAGGTTGTTGGGTTAGGTCTTGATACATTGGGGATGGGATGGGATTATTTCTCCATAAATATAAGTTTGTATGAGAGAAGTTTTTCTTGTGAAAGTGCTAACGTAATTAGCAGAGATAAAAGTCCAGAAAACATCTTCCTTTTTTTTTGCATATGTGAAATGGCTAGGCTTTTCTTTTCTAATTATGCTATCTGAGTATGAATTGCAGGACTGGTTAGATGAAATGTCTGCTTTTGTGAAATCAATTGACAACAAACATCTCCTGACAGTGGGTTTGGAAGGATTCTATGGTCCTAAAAGCCCAAAAAGGTTAACAGTGAATCCAGAATTCTGGGCAGCAACCCTTGGAGCTGATTTTATTCGCAATTCCGAGATTGCAAATGTCGATTTTGCGTCTGTTCATATCTACCCTGACCACTGGTAAGTAGCGTGGTTCTTTCCCCTGTGTGAATTTGCTTCCGTGAATAAGTAATCCTATCTTAAGATCTGTTCTAGAGATGAAAATGATATAGCATAGTGAAATAGATTTAGACAAATAAAAAAGTTGGAGATAAATCAAATACGAAATCAGAGGATGGGCAACAACCATAATTAAAGAGATTGGTTAGAACCATAATCACAAGATTGTCACAAGATATCTGCAACCACAATTGCAAAGATGTACACTCAATTCAATGAGCAAAAGTCAAGTTCTTACACATAGCAGTATTCTTAACAAGAATGAAGCACCATGTATTTATATGCTGTCTATATAATGTAATATGACCAGAATACTTATATAAGAAAATAAGAAACTAAGACTTCTAACTGAATAAGAAACAAAATTCCTAAACCAATAACAGACCTATTTAACAGTTTTAAATAAGCTAAATATCTTTGAAGATACATATGGTTTATAATTGCATAAATCTCTTCTAATATTGAAATGTATCCATTATGGGATAACCATATTTTACAACATTCCCCAACTCAATAAAAATTTGTACTTGAGTTTTCAAATGTCTAAGCAACAAGAAAGTGAAAGCTTAGACACGTCTTCCAAAGAACTGAAATCCAAACCTCAGGTTGTCTTCAGGAAACATGGATGTTCCGCATAGTGGGCATTCCAAAGGTTTAGTGAGCAGAACATGCATGACAAGATACAAAGAGGGAAGAATCACTGAACTTTTGCTTCTCACTAAAAGGAGCTATAAACCTTTTTTGTGTAACCTCCTCAGGTCGGGCCTTATTCTTCTCCATGCTTTGCAAACAAACTATGACACCGGCATCTTCAACCAGAAAGAAACAATTTCTTAAGTAGAATTTGCATATTTCATAATCTCCCCAATTACCTTATCTATATCTTGCTCTCTTAAGCTAGGTGTTCAATGGTAATGAGATAATCTGGCTCTGTAGAAGGAGATACCTCTTGCTTATGGTGGTCACTACATCATTATAGTTATGCAGGAAAGTGCCTTATAGTTTATTGCCTGCGGTAGTTGAGCTTTGTAGCATAACTTTCAAGGACTCTCCCTACTATCTTATAGGCAATTGGCATAACTTTTATGGTGTGAACACTATGTAGGAGTGTAGAAAGCAACTTTATTGAAGTTTCATTTTCTTGTAAAAGAGTCATAATTGCATTCTTGTAGGAGAGAACAGTCTTCCTTTAAGGTCGTATAGAGTTTAGGACGTGCTTGAACATTTCTGCAATGTATCTTTCACAATTAAAATCTATCATCACTAGATGTAGCCTAAGTCACGTAATTCTTTCAAAAATTAAGATCTCTTTGACATGTGATTACATCATTTTATTAGTTAATATTTTAAATATAGAGACAATCAACTTTGAAAAACTTGTTCATTTGCGCATCATCATCTTGGTACGAGGTGCAATTACTCTAATTAGCTCAGGTATTTAATAAGTACTCTAAAGATTCACATGGATATTTGAATGCTTGAGAAGGTAATTGTCAACCAGTGCTTTTAATAATACACAAACTGCATCTTGCATCAGCATGGATGGGTTTGGATACGGAACTTTGGGAGACATCTATTATCTAAATCTAGAATGCTAAGAAATTTATTAGTCAAACGAGGAGGATGTGCAAGCATGTGACAGATGTCCATGAACCACTTTCCAAGCCCTTTATTAGAGACAACATGAAATTGCTAAAATGTACTCAATTCTCTTTCCGACGAAGACAGTTAAAAATGGCATGAATACATTTTAAATCAAATGACTTTAATTGAATGCATCAATAAACAATGACTTTCCAACTGGTCAATCTGCTAAAAAATTATAGAGTACGAATTTGACCAACTGGCCTCAGAAAGTTAAAAGACTATACCAAAAAAACATTAAGAATCTGTGTAAACAGGACAAGAACTGGTCTGGTCAAATTGGCAAGGTCAACTCTATGAAATGGAGCGAACTAGGTTTAGAATGAAGATAGAAAAATAGAAGATAAATCCAATTCAATCAACCACATTATTGGATTGCCACAACCATAGTTAAGAAGTTGTTAGACACTTAATTCAGTGAGAAAATTTTACAGCCTTTTATTCATAAGCAGTCTTCTTGATGATGAAGAAGCACTTATGTCTCTTATGGTATCTACATAGCTTAATATGACTAAAATACTTAATAGGAAAATAAGGACAAGTCAAGGTTATTTGTCTATTCTTTGTATGTTGATTTTGCATGATCTTAGCCAACAGGGGATATGACTTAAGGCACTATTATGATATAAACCATTTGTTTATTTGTGTTAGGTTTCATGTGCAAGAGTTTGAAGAGAAGCTGAACTTTTTGTCCAAGTGGATGCTTTCTCACATCGAAGATGGTGACAACGAATTGAAGAAGCCAGTTATGTTCACTGAATATGGGTTGTCAAACCTAAACAAAGACTTCGAACAATCCCAGCGTGACAGGTTCTACAAAACTATCTTAGACACCATTTACAAATCTGCAAAAAGAAATGGGTCTGGAGGCGGTGCCCTTGTCTGGCAGTTCTTGATTGAAGGAATGGAAGAATTTAATGATGATTTTGGAATGGTGCCATGGCAAAGGGCAGCAACCTATAAACTGTTTACAAAGCAATCGTGCAGGTTGACAAAACTCCCGGGCTCGGTGCTACAAAATAAAAACTTGAAAGAACTGTGTTCTAAGAGACCCTGAAAAGGTGATTCTTCCATCTCAAACAATAATTCTTCTCTGGGTACTGATTCACTTTTCTGGTATGGGGTTATTCAAGGGAAACACATAGGTCTACTGTTTTTTTTTTTTCTTTTTGTTTACTGTTGTGTAACCCAAGCACCTATATATATATAAGTTGAGATTGATTAAAGTAGGTGTGAATATAAGAGCTTTGAATTTGCAACTTTGCAGCAAAGATTCAAATTGTTTGTAGTGCCTTATAGTTGGCATAAGGAAATATGAATCCAGTAGTTCCTAGTAAGTTTACATTTCAGCTGATGAGCATATATGATAATGTTAGAACCCTTAACTCAGGATGCTTTTGAGTTAACTTGGAATTGTAGTCTTAAATCTTTCAAGCTACTGGCTGAAGAAAAAAAGAATTTCGAAACACCATGTGGCGAATTCTTTTGGTCCGGAAGCAGAAACAGTCCGATCTTCGACCCAATTCGATTCTAAACAGATCAATATCCTAACTAGCTATTTCTCGTAAAGGCTCAGTTTTTGCAGCACCCAGAGGCCAAAAGAAAATCCACTATTATTTTTGTGTAAATAATTTATTATAAATAATTTAAATTTTTATTAATTATTACATATAAAATAGTATAAGTTGTGTTAAATTATTTATAATTTGATAGTTTATGTATAAATATAATGTTCTATTAAAAAAAAATAAAAATTAAGAGTAAATAACAAGGGTAATTTAATAATAACTATATTATATAAAGGATAATTAGCATTTTTAACAAAAAAAGTGCTTAAAATTTTAAAAATTTAGAAATTTATTATAAAACTGTTACAAAAATGATAATTAGCATATGTTAATATATAATATCTGATTATAAGATTATAATATATAAATATTATGGATTAAATTATAATAAATATTAACTTTTAGAAATTAATTTAATAATAAAAGATATTTAATAATGTGTGACCAAAAATAAAATACAATTTTTGCAATTAAATTTATTTTATAATTCGCTTTTTATTTAGTTGGACAGAATTACCCTTCGCAAATTTATTTTTTCTCTAAATTGCCCTCCTATAACTACCTCCCGAATCAAACTCCAAGACAATTTCACACTCTCCGCCCCACTGGAGCTCTGTAGCCTTCCACTTCATTCATGCCTTAAACCATAATCGATATTGTAAAGGAGCAAGTTAAGAGCAAGAAATGCAGGCTTACCAGTGCGCTTGCAAACTTAGTGCTGGAAGGACGACAATGGCGGATCCTAGCGGTGAGGGTTGGAGAAGAAGAGGTTTGAATTTGGCGTCTGAAAGTTTTATTTATCTCGGAAATTTTGCTACTCATTGGGTTATCAGGTCTGTGGCAAAAGCTCGATTTCAAATTTGAGGTTGAAGCTGATTAGGATACGGATAGAAGTAGAAAGAAGAGTTCTAGCTTTAGTCGAATTTGAAGATAGCAGGGAAAGCCACGGAGTGATGTTTATGGATAGAAGTAGAAGGAAGAGTTCTAGATCTAGTCGAATTTGAGGTTAGCAGGGAAAGTCCCGGAGTGATCCTATCACTTAAAGAGTTAATGGATAAGCCTGTTCATCGCCTTCAGTCATCAAGAAGAGGAAGGTTACCTGATCAAAACATACTTCTACGTTTAAAATATTCGGATAATGATTTTATCTCTGCACGTTCTTACACTGAATCGGATTTTATTCGATATCAATCTCTTATAATATATAATAATATATAATATAATGTTTCGCTGAGTGATAATTGATATTGATAATTTATACTTGATAAATGATAATTGATAATTGATAATTGATAATTATAAGTGATGATGCTACACATAAACGCCATCGTTGTATCTATAGACTTCTATTATAACGAAAACATCTGTATTTTATTTTTGATTATTAAACTTTCCTATTTCTAGTTCATTTGTACTTCTATCTGGACGAATTTTATTCGAACAAAAACGTTTCTGGAATTGTATATAAATACACCTTCCCGGTTTCGTTTGTTCCATGTAAAACAGTCTTTCATCGTGAGCTTGGTGAAGTAGCAATGGCTTCCAAAATTTCTTGCTTGCTCCTTCTCTTTGTAGCGGCTTCTTGCGTCTATCAATCTTCTGCTCTCCACGCTGCAAAAAACCAGACTGCATGGCTGACTGTAGATGCCTCTGAAGGGAGTGGCCGTCTCATCCCTGAAACTCTCTTTGGAATATTTTTTGAGGTTTATTTTAATTGCCAGCTCAAGAATTTCTTCCAGTTCCTTGTGGCTTTGTTTTCAATATATTACCAGCAGAGAAGAAGAATTAAATTTTCTTTTCTTGACGTATGCTCTTATTTTTCGTCCTTTTGTCTTGTTAATGCAGGAGATCAATCATGCGGGAGTTGGTGGGCTATGGGCCGAACTTGTTAGCAACAGAGGTGATTTTTATTTCGTTTCTTAGAAAAGAAGAGAACGAGCATTCTTGTTTGAAATTAGTTCAACTGATTTTATGAAAATCTTTTTTGTTTCTTGTGCTTTCTGGCTTATGTTACTTATTGATGTTTTGGTTTCAGGATTTGAAGCTGGGGGCAGTAGCGTCCCTTCCAACATTGATCCTTGGACCATCATCGGAGATGACTCATCTGTAATTGTATCAACAGACCTCTCATCACCTTTTGACAGCAACAGGGTTGCTCTCCGGATGGATGTGCTCTGTGACAGTGACTGTCCCCCTCGGGGAGTTGGTGTCTATAATCCAGGTTACTGGGGCATGGTGAGAACTGGTTTATACTTTTTACATACAGGCTTAGCGATTTCATGTTCTGTGAACTCTCTTTCTTTTTCTACAGAATATTCAAGGAGGCAAGAAGTACCAAGTGGTCCTTTATTTGCGTTCATCAAGGGAAACTAGTGTGGCTGTATCATTGGCAAGCTCGAATGGCTCAGAGATTCTAGCTTCTGCTAATATTACGTATAAACCACATTAAACCCTGATCTGACAATTGCGCAATAGTTTTTGTTAGTCTATAGTTGATTTTCTTTTGTGTTCTTGCAGAGTTGCTAGTTCTGATGTTGGAAACTGGACAAGGAAGGAGTTTGTTTTGGAGGCCAAGGGAACAGATCCTCATGCAAGGCTTCAATTGACAACAACAACAAAGGGAGCACTATGGTTTGATCAAGTATCGGCCATGCCCTTGGATACTTACAAGGTATGTTCCATGCAATCATTAAATATATATCCTTTATTTTCATACTGGCATCTTTCCTTTCTTGTACTGCATCAATATTATCAAATTAGTACTTGTCTGATAAAGTATTTTATATGGTGCTTATGTTCTCACAGGGACTCGGTTTCCGTAATGATCTGTTTCAAATGCTTGTGGATATAAAACCTCGATTTTTGAGATTTCCAGGTACATATACATACTTTACATGGAAACATTGAATTTGTTGTTTGATTCTCTTCTGCCTTAAATTTATTGTCTGTACTGTAATATTGTTTATTTTTTGACTTAAATTTTTTGTGTTAGGTGGCTGCTATGTTGAGGGAGAATGGTTAAGAAATGCTTTCCGCTGGAAGGAGACAATTGGTCCTTGGGAGCAGAGACCCGGACACTTTGGTGATGTTTGGAAGTACTGGAGTGATGATGGACTTGGTTACCTTGAGTATCTTCAGGTAGATATTCTCTCATTTTTTGTGGTTGTTGGGTTTATGTAGATAAACTGAAATTTATATTTATTCTTCCTGCAGTTAGCAGAGGAGCTTCATGCAGCACCAGTATGGGTTTTCAACATTGGTACTCAGGACATTCTTATCTTTTTTCTTTTTACTGGTTTCTCAGCGCGCTGCCCGACACACGCACAGTAGACTGTATGGTTGATTTCTTTCCCTTTTTTCTTGTTATTTTTACAGGGATCAGCCATAATGATGAAGTTAATACTACAGCTGTTTTACCTTTTATACAAGTATGTCTGCATTTTTTTTTTCTTTTGGTTTGTCTGTTGCTAACTCACAACCTTATCTAATTCAATTCAAGTAAATTTTATCGTTTGTAGTGACACAATGATTGTTTTACAGGAAGCTCTTGACAGTATTGAGTTTGCTAGAGGTGATTCTAATTCCACATGGGGATCTGTTCGGGCTGAATTGGGACATCCAGAACCCTTTGACTTGAAATATATTGCACTTGGGAATGAGGATTGTGGCAAACCTAATTACAGAGGTTTCTTTGCTCTTTTAATCTTTTGTATATAAATTCTCTTTCTTATTTATTGCCATGTTTGTTCATGAAATGGCCAAAATAGTCGCTTAACTTTACTCCTCAGGCAATCTTGCCTAA